GCTGCTTAGAAGGCTGAAGAAGGAGAATCACTTGAACCCAGGAGGCAGAGGTAGCAGTGAGCTGAATTCATGCCACAGTACTTCAGCCAGAGTGACAGAGCAAGACTCTGTCTCAAAAAACAAAAACCTAAACTGTTAATATTATTTTATGTAAGTCACTTAAGTGCCCTACATCTATTTAGTCTATTATTAATGAAAGCATTAGGGAAGGCTGACCTTGAGGTCTCTAGTGTTTTAAAGGCTCACTTGGAATCAAAATCGAAATCCTTACACTGGTTCTATATAATCTATCCTTCTTCACCTGCAGCCTTTACATCTCATACATCTACTATTCTTCCTCTCTTGCACTCTGTCCTACATTGGCCTCTTTGCTGTTCTCCAAGCATGCCAGCATATTATTCTCTTCCCTGTCTTTGAATTGCTCCCCCTTCCCCAGGACATCCCCTAGACTCAACATACTCCTTAACTTCTTTCTTCTTCTTTTTTTAAAGGCACACAGCACCCCACTTGGTTAATTTTTGTATTTTTTTGTAGAGACAGGGTTTTCCCTTGTTGGGAAAACTGGTCTTGAACTCCTGGGCTCAAGTGATCTGTCAGTCTCGGCCTCCCTAAAAGCTGGGAATACAGGCATCAGCCACCACACCTGGCCCTTCACTTCTTTTCAGTGTACCCTTTCAATGAAGCAAACTCTGGTGACTGCTGATTAAAAATTGAATCCCCAATCACAATACTCCCTACTCAAACCCTTTACTTTTCTCTACTTATTACTTATTTATTCAACTTATTTCTCTTGTTTATAATGTTTCCCAATTAGAATATAAACTCCATGGTGACGAATTTTTTTCTTTGTTCACTCCTATATCATCAGCACTTAGAACAACGCCTGACACACAGCAGACACTAAAATGTTTGTGAAATAAATATGTAAGGTGATTTTCAGTGGTAAATTTTTATGATTATAAAAATAATCATAAAAGACCAAAAAGTAACCATACATAATCCCATAATCAGTAATTAGAAGTGAATGTAAACAAATTCATCTGTAACATTTCCTAGACATTATCAGAGTTAAATTACTCATCAACATAGTCCTATACAGAATTTGTAATATAAGTGTAATGCATTTTAGTAAAAATCATTTCATTTAAATATCCAGTTTTAAAAACTGAAAAATGGCTAAGTGAGGGAACCTAAATATTCATGTGAAGTAAAAATTGGCCTTAATCTTAAAATGAAAGCAGTATGGAAAGGCTTTTCTTTTCTTTTTTTTTAAATAAAATATGGAATGCTTCACGAATTTGTGTGTCATCCTTGTGCAGGGGCCATGCTAATCTTCTCTGTATCGTTCCAATTTTAGTATATGTGCTGCAGAAGCGAGCACTGGAAAGGCTTTACAATACACAGAACAGGAAACAATCAACAAAGTGAAGAGACAAACTACAGAATGGGAGAAAGGAATTCCCAACTATCCATCTCACAAAAGTTAATAACCAGAATATATAAGGAACAAAAACAACTCAATAGCAAAAAACAAATAATCTGATTAAACAACAGGCAAAGCCAGGGGCAGTGGTTCACTCCTGTAATCCCAGCACTTTGGGAGGCTGAGGTGGGCAGATCACCTGAGGTCAGGAGTTCGAGACCAGCCTGACCAATATGGAGAAACCCCATCTCTACTAAAAATACAAAATTAGCTGAGCATGATGGTGCACGCCTGTGTTCCCAGCTACTCAGGAGGCTGAGGCAGGAGAATCACTTGAACCCGGGAGACAGAGGTTGCAGTGAACCAAGATCATGCCATTGCACTCCAGCCTGGGCAACAAGAACAAAACTCCCTCTCAACAACAACAACAAAAAAAAGGATATGCAAAAGATCTGAATAGACACTTCTCAAAAGACATACAAATGGCCAAAAGGTATTTGAAAAAATGTTCAACATCATTAATCATCAAGGAAATGCAAATCAGAACTGCACTGAGACACTGTCTCTGCAGTTAAAATGGCTACTACTAAAAAGATAAAAAAATTACAAATACTGGTCAGGATGTGGAGAAAGGGGAAAACTCATATGCTGCTCATAGGAATATAAAGTAGAAATGCCATTATGGAAAAAAGTATGGAAATTCCTCAAAAAACTAAAAATAGAACTACCATTTGATTCAGCCATCCTACTGCGAGGTATATGTCCAAAAGTAAGGAAATCAGTTTATCAAAGAGATATCTGAATTCTCATGTTTACTACAGTGCTATTCACAATAGCCAATACATAATACCAACCTAAATGTCCAGCAAAAAATGAGTAAAGAAAGTGAGAAAGTGTGGTATATAGCAATATAGATGAAACTAGAGGTCATTATGTTAGGTGAAATAAGACAGGCACAGAAAGACAAATATTGTATGTTCTCACTGATATGTAGCAGCTTAAAAAGTGGATCTCATGGAGGTAGGGATTAGAATGGTGCTCACCAGAGGCTGGAAAGGCAAGAGGGAAGGGAGTAATGAGAAGCTGGGTAGCGGGTACAAAAATATAGTTAAATAGAAGAAATAAGTTCTGGTATTCAATAGTACAGTAGGAAAATTATAGTTAACAATCACTTATTATATATTTCAAAATAGCTAGAAAATTATGTTGCCAATACAAAAATAAATGTATGAGGTGATGGATATCCCAATTACTCTGATTTCATAATTATGTATTGTGTATAACGCATCAAAATAGTACATGTAGTCCAAAAATATGTATGCATAACTATTATATATCCAAAAAAAGTTTAAGGCTTTTTAAGATAAAAAGCTCGGGGAGGCGGGGTGAGGTAGGGGCTGTGATATTGAAAATAAAAGTAATCCAGGCTGGGCAAGGTGGGTCACGCCTGTAATCCCAGCACTTTGGGAGGCCGAGGTGGGTGGATGACCTGGGGTTGGGAGATTGAGACCAGCCTGGCCGACATGGCAAAACCCTATCTCTACTAAAAATATAAAAATTAGCAGGGTGTGGTTGCAAGTGCCTGTAAGCCCATCTACTCAGCAGGGAGAATTGTTGAAGCTGGGAGGCGGAGGTTGCAATAAGCCAAGATCATGTCACTGCACCTCCAGCCTGGGTGACAGAGTGAGACTCTGTCCCCTCCCCACCCAAAAAAAGGCCAGGTATGGTGGTTCACGCCTGTAATCCCAGCACTTTGGGAGGCCGAGGAGGTGGATGACTTGAGATCAGAAGCTCGAGACCAGCCTGGCCAACATGGTAAAACCCTGTCTTTACTAAACACACAAAAAATTAGCCAGGTGTAGTAGTACATGCCTGTAGTCCTAGCTATTCCATAGGCCGAGGCACAAGAATCGTTTGAATCGGGGAGGCAGAGGTTACAGTGAGCCACAATGGAGACACCGAACTCCAGCCTGGGCAACAGAGAGACTCTGTCTCAAAAAAAAAAAAAAGAAAAAGTAATCCATACTAAAATAAAAGCTTCACATTAGAAGCTTGTCTAAATGAAAGCCAACTGTTTCAATCATCTAAAATTAACAGAGGTCAGGCATGGTGGGTTACCATGTAATCCCAAGATTTTGGGAGGCCGAGAGGGGTGGATCATTTGAGCTCAAGAGCTCAGGACCAGCCTGAGAAACAGGATGAATCCCCATCTCTACAAAAAAATACAAAAAATATTAGCCAGGCGTGATGGTGTGCGCCTGTGGTCCCAGCTACTCGAGAGGTTGATGGGGATGGATCGCTTGAGCCCAGGAAGTTGAGGCTGCAGTGAGCCGTGACTGCATCACTACACTACAGTCTGGGCAACACAGTGAGACACCTTGTCTCAAAAATTAAACATAATAAAGCCAGGCACGGTGGCTCAAGCCTGTAATCTCAGCACTTTGGGAGGCCGAGGAGGAGGGATCATGAGGTCAGGAGTTCGAGACCAGCCTGGCCAACATAGTGAAACCCTGTCTCTGTTTAAAAAAAAAAAAAAGTAAACATAATAAAAGAAAATACAAATCAATAGCACCACGTTTTGAAAGATGACCTAACATGCCCAAATTCTAACTTCACCTAACTAGAGAGGGTGAAAAAGGATACAATAACATTGCCTCTGCATTTCCCAGAAAGCCAGTCACTCTTCCTAATTAAAGGAAGCTGAAATATTTAAAGAATATTCATAAGTGCTAAAACATCCTGGATGAAAATTAATAAACACTTCACTAAAACATGTTCTAGTTACACAGACAGTAAATTAGATGGACCATGAAACTATATACAAAAAGGAAAGGTTTTTACTAAAGAAAAGAACACATCTTGCTTTAATATCAATAATAATATGGCAGATAGCAAATAATAAATAAAAGCAGTAATGTCAAAGCTTCCTCACCCTACCAGCTCATCTCATTTAAAAGATACCATTATTACCATCTGGCTTTGATATAGTTACCTCTAAATACAGCATACAGTAAGTACTTCATATAACTCCCTATTGAGCAATTTTAGTCAGTAGGTTATAAACTTTTTTTTATTTTTTATTTTTATAGAGACGAGGTCTATGTTGCCCAGGCTCGTCTTGAACTCCTGGACTCAAGCGATTCTCTTGTCTTGGCTTCCCAAAGTGCTGGGATTACCGGCATAACCACACCTGGCCTAAATTTCTAAAAAAGATAAAAAGAACTTAAGAATCTTTGCCTAATATTAAAAGTTTAGTTTTGGTACCAAAAATGAGGGTGCTGGTCAAACTTTTCAGAGAAATTACATATACTTAAGGGAGTATCATATACCATGCTTTTGTACCAACTTAAAAGATAAAGAAAAAAAAAAAAGAATATCATATACTTAAGAGAATATCAGCCATGCAATTCATACAGTATTCAAGAAGCAGATTTAAAAGACTCTAGTATCAAAAGTATCTATTACTTTATCCTTTTAACATTTTCAGGATGTGAAGTTACTAATGAATAAAATCAACTATGCAAAAATATAACCTTCATCTTTGAAAAATCTTGTGTTTCATTATAAACAAACTCACCTGAATGTTTTATTTGTTTTGTTAACATGAAGGTTTTCTACAAGAACCACCTGACTTTGATTTTCATACATTCTGTATTCTGAAACTGTGGAGGATGGAATTTCAATTTCTGTTTCAATTTGAGAATTTGACTGAAAAGACAAAATCATATTCTGTTATTTTTATAGCAGAATATACCTCTTAAAATATTTCCATCATTAAGAAAGATATTTTGTTTTGAAGAATTCCTTTTCTTTTTTAAATGTTTATGTATTTATTTATTTGAGATAGTCTCATTATGCTGCCCAAGCAGGTCTCAAACTCCTAGGCTCAAGTGATCCTCCTTCCTCAGCCTCCTGAGTAACTGAGATTATAGGCACATACCACCATGTGGTTAATTCTTTAAAATTAGATTCAAACTGGATATATAATGTTCATATTCTGTTGCCAAAACAAGGATGCCCAGTTCAGAGAAAAGTTTCAAAGATTATTGCAATAATATGTTTACATAATACTTGGAAAACTAAAATAGTCACCTGCTATGAAATTAAAAATAAAAGCTTAATTTTTTTTTTTAATAAAGAGCTTTCGGGTTCAAATAAAGATTATTTTAAATCTAGACTTTGCATTGGTAGAGAAATGAACAGAAAATAACTACCTAAAGTGAACATTTTTAGGCATTATACTACTTAGGCCTTTTTCCTACTACCAAAAGACCCATCAATAAGAGATTAAACTGTTATTCAAAACAGCATAATGTTATCCAGCAAAAACAATGCAACTCCATACTTCATCCAGAAAGCCACTTAACATAGTATTAAGTGAGTAACAGAAAGTTACAATATGTAATGATTTTATTGTTTAAATTTATGTAAGTGTGCATATATGTGTGCATGGAAATAGATCCAGTAAGATATATCAAAAGATTTTCAGTAGTTATCTCAGAGTGAGATTTGCATTATTTATTATATTATTTTGTCTTAATGGAACACTTCACGATGAATAGCTTCATTAGTTAGAAAAGAAATATATCGCCGGGTGCAGTGGCTCACGCCTGTAATCCCAGCACCTTGGGAGGCTGAGGCAGGTGGATCACGAGGTCAAGAGATCGAGACCATCCTGGTCAACATGGTAAAACCCCGTCTTTACTAAAAATACAAAAAAATTAGCTGGGCATGGTGGCGCATGCCTGTAATCCCAGCTACTCAGGAGGCTGAGGCAGGAGAATTGCCTGAACCCAGGAGGCAGAGGTTGCGGTGAGCCGAGATCGCGCCATTGCACTCCAGCCTGGGTAACAAGAGCGAAACTCCGTCTCAAAAGAAAAAAAAAAAAGGAAAAGAAAAGAAATATATCTATTTTCACTTAAAAAAAAAATCCAGAAGAGCAAATCTGAAACAAAACCGGATACTATATTCATTGAGTAGAATATGTGTCAGATGCCTATATTTCTAAGCCATATATGAGCTGTAACTTGATATTGTAAATGCATTAAAAGGCTCAATTCAATCACATAACAATAACTCACCACAATTAACACTTTCTTTTCACTTTCATCCCTTTGTAATATTGTTCTTTCTTCCTTAATTATGCCTTTGGCATCACTTTTTTCTACTATTTGCCTTTGTCCTGTCTTTCTTACATTTGGTCTCGGTCTCTGAAGTCGGCCTCTTACTGGTCGAGCAGGTGGAATGACACTTTCCTTCATTTCTTGCTGGGAAGTGTTTATATTATTAGTCCTAAACAAGGGGACAGGGAGAAAGACAGGGCACTTGACTGTAAAAAGTTGAAAACTAATGTAGAAATGTAAAATTTGGATCTCCTCTAATAAAGGCTCTAAAAAATACTTTGTACCATTACAGGGAAATTGCTTTCTGATTATAAACATCTTACTTTACAAAAGAAAGCAGTTGTTTCATTCTCAAAAGATAATAAACTTATATGATATGCCTAGAGTTGCTAAATAGTGGTTGCCAGGAGCTGGAAGAAGAGGAGAATGAGTTAATATTTAATGGGTACAGAGTATCATTTTACAAAGATGAAAAACAAAGTCTAAAAATGAATGATGGTGGCAACTGGACATCTATGTGAATACACTTAACACCACTATACATTAAGAAATAGTTAAAAAATAGTTAAAATGGTTAATTTTGTGTTATATGTATTTCACCAATTTTTAAAAAGTAATAAATATATATAGCTTATATACATACAGGCTGAGTAGCACTCATCCAAAATGCTTAGGACCAGAAATGTTTCAGATTTCAGATTGTTTTAGATTCGGAAATATATGCATTATACTTATCAGCTGGGCATCCATACTTTGGAAATCCAAAATGCTCCAATGAACATTTCTTTGGAGCACCACATCAGCTCTCAGAAAGTTTTAAATTGTGGAGCATTTCAGAATTTTTGATTAGGGATGCTCAACCTGTACTTTTTAAATGCAGTGCTTCATATAGACTCTTAAGCAGCTGACAATGCACACAACAGGCAACCACTAGATGGTATTGAATTAAATCCAATATGTTATGTTAGGCAGTCTGCTAAATCAATAAAATTAAACCAATATTCTTTATGTTCACTTTTTAAATGCATTAAAATATCTCAATAAAAATGAGAAGTATTTTTAAAAAGTGTCTCTCTTATTTTTTATTTTCAAAGAAAGTAACTGTTTACCCCACAGAAACAACGAAGTCATTTTCCTGGGCTTGTGCTGACTGAGAGTCCTCTTTAGGTTCACAAGAATTTGAAGGTGAAAGGTTATTTTCAGTCTGTATACATGGCAATATCACAGCTTCCTCATTCCTGTGACCTGATGTGTCTTTTTCTCTTGATATCATTAGGGAAGTTTCATCCTACAAGGCAGAAAAAAAATTTCATTCAGCGTTGCTAAAAGTATAAAGAAATAAGAACTTTCTTATTCTATTCATACAAGTATAAACTGATATCATCTTTGTAAAAAACAGTAGTGTAGTTAGTCTATGCCAAAACTAAATTCCGAGCAATTCTACTTCTGGAAATGCATCTTATAAATATTTAACAAGTAGAAAGATACATACAAAAATACTTATTGTAATAATTTAAATGCCACCTCCCCCACTGGAAAAGACAAACAAAAAATCAGAAATAAGATCTGTCACTAAGGGATTGAATAAATAAATTCTAATTTATTTACAATGCAATAGTACCTAATCGTTTAAAAGAAGATAAATCTCTTTGTACTGATCTAAAAAGAAGCTCACAATATTTTAACTGGAAAAATCAGAAGGCAAGAATTAGTGTAGCCGGGCGCAGTGGCTCACGCCTGTAATCCTAGCATTTTGGGAGGCTGAGGTAGGTGGATCACCTGAGGTTAGGAGTTCAAGACCAGCCTGGCCATCATGGTGAAACCCCATCTTTAAAAAAATTTTTTTAATTTAAAAAATAAAAAAAGAATCAGTGTCATTTTGGAAAACAATAAAAATATCTGCCCATTTTATTATTTTATAAATATACCAAAAAGTCTTTTTCCTTGGGGGAAAGGGATGTGATATAAAAGACTCACTTTTTAGAATACATATAATTTTCCAAATTGAAAATTCTATAATCAGAAAATATAATACAAATGTAACTTATCTTTTATGACTATAAGCTTAGGAGAAAAGGTATAAATGTTGATACACAGTAAAGTACTGAGCTATTTTAAAATGTCAAATAAGAATTTTAATTCTAAAAAGGACTTTATATGTGGAAAACATTCAGTTTATAATTATTCATTTCTTTTTTTTTTTGAGATGGAGTTTCGCTCTTGTTACCCAGGCTGGAATGCAATGGCGCGATCTCGGCTCACCGCAACCTCTGCCTCCTAGGTTCAAGCAATTCTCCCACCTCAGCCTCCCGAGTAGCTGGGATTACAAGCGTGCACCACCATGCCCAGCTAATTTTTGTATTTTTAGTAGAGACGGGGTTTCACCATGTTGACCAGGATGGTCTCGATCTCTTGACCTCGTGATCCACCCACCTCGGCCTCCCAAAGTGCTGATATTATAGGCATGAGCCACTGCGCCCGTTTTTGATGGTCTTTTACACAATCAATCTGTTATGGAGAAAGTTCATAAAGTAAATAAAATATTACCTTTAACTCCAATCAAACTTACATTTCACCTTCACCACAGAGTGAAATAAAAAACTATTAATGGGCTGGGCGCGGTGGCTCACACCTGTAATCCCAGCACTTTGGGAGGCTAAGGCGGGTAGATCACGAGGTCAAGAGATCTAGACCATCCTAGTCAACATGGTGAAACCCCGTCTCTACTAAAAATACAAAAATTAGCTGGGCATGGTGGCGCGTGCCTATAATCCCAGCTACTCAGAAGGCTGAGGCAGGAGAATTGCCTGAACCCAGGAGGTGGAGGTTGCGGTGAGCCGAGATCACACCATTGCACTCCAGTCTGGGTAACAAGAAGAAAACTCCGTCTCAAAAAAAAAAACAAAACCATTTTTGTCACCAGGCATGGTGGCTCACGCCTGCAATCCCAGCACCTTGGGAGGCTGAGGTGGGCAGAACATGAGGTCAGGAGTTCAAGACCAGCCTGGCCAACATGGTGAAACCCTGTCTCTATTAACAATACAAAAAGAAAATAATAGTGGGGCATGGTGGCACATGCCTGTAGTCCCAGCTACTCAAGAGGCTGAGGCAGGAGAATTGCTTGAACCCGGAAGGTTGTGGTTGCAGTGTGCCGAGATCACACCACTACACTCCAGCTTGGGTGACAGTGAGACTTTGTCTCAAAAAATAAAAATAAATAAAAAACTATTTATATATATATACATATGTATATATTTTTTTAATTGTACTTTAGGTTCTGGGGTACATGTGCAGATCATGCAGGATTGCTATATAGGTATATACATGGCAATGCGGTTTGCTGCCTCCATCCCCCAATAAAAAACTATTATTCTCATTTTCCTATGAAGAAAATTGTTTCATCAATGGTCACAAAGCCAGAAATGGAACCAGAGCCCAGACCTCCTAAATGCTTTCCCACAACAGGCTTGCCTATAATCGGATATCTGAGATTCTTACACAAATTACGTGTAATAATGAGGCACATTAAGCATGGGAACAATATAACATGCAGCAAAAATTACACAGAAATATTTGTAAAATTTTAATGCCAGGTGCTTTTAGTAGCCCTTCACTTAAAAAAAAATACCCACACAGAACTTCCATCTTAAATATCACTCACATATTGAAAAGGGACAGTATCAGGTTGTTCATTATTCTCTTGCATCACAATAGTCTTCATTTTCTTGGTTTCTGATTTCTTCCCAGATAGACATGTTTCTGATTCTGTAGTCTCTCTCTTCAAAGCTGCCCTTGCTAAGTTTGGTTTTGGTCTTTTGAATCGACTTCTCACAAAAGGTGCTGGTTTAATTTCAAGTGGCTTCTGTTCTTGAGGAAGAGATTTGCTTTTGGAACAAAAATGATCAAGCTTTAGAATGAACTGAAGGGGCAGTGGCAATGGAGTCTCAGGACAACCTTAGAGACTGGCAGTAAACATTTACTTCTTTTTTGTTGGAGACAGGGTCTTGTTCTGTCACCCAGGCTAGAATGCAATGACACAATCATAGTTCACTGCAGCCTTGACCTCCATGGGCTCTGGTGATCCTCCCATCTCAGCCTCCCAAGTAGCTGGGACTACAGGCATATGCCACCACATCCAGCTAGTTTTTGTATTTTTGTAGCGATGGGTTTCTACAGCCTGTTGCCCAGGCTAGTCTCAAACTCCTGGGCTCAAAGGATCCACCCACCTTAGCCTCCCAAACTGCTAAGATTACAGGTGCGAGCCGCCATACTTGGCCTAATTCTAATTCACAGGAAAACAAATCGAACTATCTGGTAGATCCTGAAAAAACATGAGTGGTACAATCCAGGTATGAGCCTAGGAATTATATAATCTCTGCACAAAGAAAACATGAGTCTGTCAAACCTGTATTGATTTAAGACTGTTACATACAATTTTGTATGTTAGTAACTTTCACAACTGTCAGAGTGACCTCAATTCTCTCCCAGTCTTCCCAAAACTATCTTATATCTCTAACACTATCCTGCATATGTTATACCCTGAAATCTCACTTAAACATAATCTGCAAATATAACTTAATATCTGTCTTTAAAAACACACTTGTACCTTAAATTAATATCTGAAAACTGCTCTGAAACATCTGGAGATCGAAGCCCCTGGACTTTGGTTTTATCAGATTCATGAGTCTGTGAAGAAACCTTGAAATGACTTAAGCTACTTGATACTTCTTTTTCAGGACTTCTTTTTTCTTCTACAGGTGTATGCATCATCGACAGTACTTCGCTGCTGATGTTCTAGAAAAACAGTCAAATAAATCAGCACAGATAAAATATTCTTTAAACATCTCATATATTTAAAACAAGTCTACTATATTCTAAACACTTTCCTTTAAACATTTAGAGGTTTTTAATTTTTAAATAAAATTTAACTTCCGAATGTTAAACCTGAAATTCAGGAAACTTCAAGGCACTGAAACATAGAAACTTAGGGCTACAAAAGACTAAACTTTTAGAGATTTTTAAGTGTTGTTGGACTTAAAGACAAAATAATGGAATTATTTTGGTAACTTTTCTCTGAAAAAAGCACTCAAAAATATTTTAAAGGATAGAAAAATACATACTTTAATATCTAGTGAAGGCATAGCACTGCAGTCACTGCTACCACTCTGCATTAAATGTGTCTCAGTTTGTCTTGAGGTACTGGTCTCCTCTAGCTCACTTTCCCTTGGAGAAATGTCTGTTTTTCCAGTTTTTTTCAATTCTGCCACCGTTTCCTCAGTAACACAGATCTCTTCAGATCCACTCTCTCTAAAATTTTCTATTCCAGTTTCTTTCAAATCTGCCTCCATTTCTTCAATGGCAGCCATATCTCCTGATACTTTCTCCATCATGGAAATGCCTTTTTTTCCGGTTTCTTTCAAATCAATCTCCCTTTCCCTTACAGCACTGATCTCTACTAGCCCCTTTTCCCTTTGGGAAATTTCTTCTCTAACTTCTTTCAAATCTGTCTCCATTTCACCTATAGGCTTGACTTCCTCTGGGCCTTTTTCCTGTGGAGATATTTCTCTTTCAGTTTCTTCCAAATCTATGTCTATTTCCTTAGTGGCATCAATCACCTCAGGTGTCTTCTTCCTTGGGGAAATCTCCCTTCCAGTTGCTTTCAAATCTGTCTCCATTTCACCTAAAGGCTTGACCTCCTCTAGGCCTTTTTCCTGTGGGGATATTTCTCTTCTTCCAGTTTCTTCCAAATCTTTGTCTATTTCCTTAGTGGCATCAATCACCTCTGGTGTCTTCTCCCTTGAGGAACTCTCTCTTCCAGTTGCTTTCAAATCTGTCTCCATTTCACCTATAGGCTTGACTTCCTCTGGGACATTTTCCTCTAGGAATATTTCTCTTCCTCCAGTTTCTTCCAAATCTTTGTCTACATCCTTAGTGGTATCAATCATCTCTGGTGTCTTGTCCTTTGGGGAAATCTCCCTTCCAGCTGCTTTCAAACCTGTCTCCATTTTCATGATGACATCAATCACATCTACAGTCTTCTCCCTGGGAGAAATGGCTCTTCTTCCAGATTCTTTTAAATCTGACTGCATTTCTTTAGTAGTACTAATACCTTCTGCTACCATCTCCCTTGGTGAGGTATTTGGTGTTATAGTTTCTCTCAATGCTGCTGTCATTTCCCCAGAGACAGCAATCTTCTCTAGTACCTCTTCCTTTGAAGAAATTTCTCTTCTTCCAGTTCTTCTTCCTATGTTTGGCTTTGGTTTCTGAAATCGAGTCCTTAGAATTGAGACTTGGTCACGTTTATTTGCTTTATTATTCTCTTGAACGCTGTAAAAAAAAAGGGGGAGGGTGCACACAATCAAGTTTTAAACCAGACTGCCTGCTGAAAGAGATGATGTTTGAGAAATCACTACAGAAACACCAAAACTCTCAAATTTGAAAAAATTAAGGAAGCCCTAGGAATCTCCGGGTAAAATTTAAAAATTAAAAGAAAAACATCCCATCTTTTGAAATCATAGCAAAAATGTTAAACATATCTATCTAGTAAGGTCAATTACTATAGAAGCTATTTAATCCTAATAGTCTCTTTCCAATTGTCATTCACACCACTGTTTGTAAATACTGGCTGGGAAAGACTCTCCAGTTCTCTGCATTAGAGCTAAATCAGTGTATGTCTCCTATTTCTACCTCTTCATCCCTTCTATCTTTTACCCAGACAAATGCTTTGCCATAATAGATCCGACCACCTCAAATACCTAGATACAAGTATGACTTAACTAAGATTAAATCTTATGACTACAATGAGGTCTGCTCTCCTCACCTTTTAAAACCAATTTTAAATGAGATATCCTATACAGATATTTCTCTGAGAGCTTGTTATTTGATAATACAAGTATTTGATAACACAAGTCAAAAATAAAAGGACAGATTAAATACACAATATTTTGCTGAATGTTTTGGGCACACAATCACTATCGAAAACAAGCACCTTGCTCTCCAAAAAAGACGCAGCACTTTTTGCTTTCTGTTGTCTTTATTATAATAGATAGGAAAATCAATAAACATATAAATGAGTGAAAGAGCTTTTAAATGACTCACCAGAAAAGTTAATATTGGGCAAAAGCTAGATCAAATGAAACACTAGATTTATTCAGCCATGTCATACTGAACAGGTATATAACAGTTCAACACCGCATATATAACAGTTCAACAGGTATATAACTGTTCAACTTGAGCCATCGTGCCTGGCCGATTTATGATACTGAACAGGTATATACATTCAACAGCTTGAAAAAAGATGTATTGGGCTGGGCACAATGCCTCATGCCTGTAATCCTAGCACTTTGGGAGACTGAGGCAGCCCATTTCTACTGAAAAAAAAAAGGCCCAAAATCAGCCAGGTGTGGTGGCATACACCTGTAGTCCCAGCTATTCAGGAGGCTGAGGTGGGAGGATCACCTAAGCCCAGGAAGGATAAGGCTACAGTAAGCCATGATCACGCCACTGCACTCCAGACTGGGCAAAAGGGCAAGATCCCATCTCAAAACAAATAAGCAAAAGATTTATTTAAAAGCATGCTAGGCCAGACATGGTAATTCAGCCTCTAATCCTAGCATTTTGGGAGGCTGAGGCAGGTGGATCATTTGAGGTAAGGAGTTTAAGACCAGCCTGGTCAACAAGGTAAAAACCTGTCTCTACTGAAAATACAAAAATAAGCCGGGGGTGGTGGCATAAGCCTGTAATCTCAGCTACTCACAAGGCTAAAGCAGGAAAATAGCTGGAACCCAGGAGGCAGAGGTTGCAGTGAGCCAAGATCACGCCATTGCACTCAAGCTGAGCAAGAGAGCAAGACTCTGTCTCAAAAAAAAAAAAAAAAGTATGCTATTGCTTGTTTCAACTTCTCTAAGTCCTAAATTATCCTTTCTCACTGAAATAACTGTTTTCAATAATGCAATTTTTGATAATATAAGGCAGGTCCTTAGGAATAAGATTGCTTGTCAAACTGTACTTGTTTACATAACTTAAGTGTTTATATACATCATTAACTTTAGTAATTGACAACATTAAATGTAAAATTAATAGCAATCCATAGGGGAAATTTAATTTGATCAGTCCTGAATGAACTGCATTCCATTTTTTGGTTTATGATACTTTTCTTTTCTTTTTTGAAAAGAAAAGAATTTTCTTTTTTGAAAAGAAAACCTCCGGGGTTCAGGCAATTCTCCTGCCTCAGCCTCCTGAGTAGCTGGGATTACAGGCACGTGCCACCATGCCCAGCTAATTTTTTGTATTTTTAGTAGAGATGGGGTTTCACCATTTTGACCAGGATGGTCTCGATCTCTTGACCTCGTGATCCACCCACCTTGGCCTCCCAAAGTGCTGGGATTACAGGCTTGGGCCACCGCGCCTGGCCGATTTATGATACTTTTCATCTCCATCATTTATGATTCATGTTCATCTCCGTAAACATCTATGGTGAGACTACTGTGCTAGCAATCTTTGGTTTGGGTATCATGGGAAGAAAGATAAACTCTTTATAAAGTCACATTTTGAAAACAGGCATATTCTTTAAACATGTAAATGCTTGAAGCAAAGACTTTATTAATAATTTCATTATTTTGATATTGGTTCAGATTATAAGATACAAATATATAATGTTATAATTATATTCTATGTGCTAAGGTTTTTTAAACTGCCATTACAGCAGGATTAGATTGTTTCTAAGTGACAAAAGGGGTGCATAATTAACTGAAGGGCAGTATCTGAGACTGGATATCAAATACAATATTGAACTAGATTATTGCTCAATTTAAAATATACAGTAGATCCACAAACTCCTCAAATCACAAATCTGAGAATAAAAGCAAAGCAAGAGAATTAAGAATGGAGAAAATAAGATATGGAGTGGGCATAAAACTATAAATCTGCTTCAAGGTCTGTATATGTGTTTTTCTAAAACAAGGAGTTTAAGAATCTATAAAATATTCATGGCCAGATGTGGTGGCTCACATCTGTAATCCTAGCACTTTTGGAGGCTAAGGAAAAAGGATCCTTCAGCCCAAGAGTTCAAGACAAGCCTGGGCAACATGGCAAACTCTGTCTCTAAAAATATTAAAAAATTAGCTAGGTGTGGGGCATGCACCTGTGGTCCCAACTACTTGGGATGCTGAGGCAAGAGGAGCGATTGAGACCAGGGGGTTGTGGTTACAGTGAGCCATGATCACACCACCACACTCCAGCCTGGGTGACAGAGCAAGATTCTGTCTTAAAAAAAATGTCCATGTGTGTTTGTGTGTGTGTGTTTCAAATATATATATGTATGTATGTATATATATGTGTTTCAAATACATATATATTTGAAAGAAGCATCACCAATCATGACAAAAACCTCAAAATGTTTATATGGAATAGATAAGATACAAAATTAACCTGTAAGATTAAGTTTTAAAGAAATATTCACTAGTTTATCTAATAAAGTACATTTTTTTATAGAGATGCAGTCTTGCAATGTTGTCCAGGCTGGTCTTGAGCTCCTGGCCTCAAGTGATCCTCCCGTGTCAGCTTCCCAAAGTACTGGGGTTATAGGTGTGAGTCACTATGCCCAGCCTAAAGAATTTTTAATGCATTCTCTGAGAGACTATTATCCTACTTTCTCTTTATCTTACATAGCATCTCAAACAGGTCAACATATTTGGAGTGGGGGGGGGAGAACTTTCTGTTAGACATAGGTATATAATTTGATAAAACACAGCATCTTAGAATTGTTTTTGAGCATTTTGGAGATTCAAAGGCCAGAAAGACGACATGATAAAGCAGAAATGACACTGCCCATAGATAGGAAAGCTGTTGAGACCAGACTGAATATTAGTTACAGACAATATCCAACGGTGTTCTAAAACCCAGAGGCCACTCAGAAAAGTTTAATTTTCTACTAAACCACAGTATCTATTAATAGACTCTAGCTTAAACTGAAAAGACATAAATAAAAAGAATAATTTGCTAGCTATCTGTAATTAAAATCTGTATCAGAGACATGTAACAAGCAATGTAGTCATGCAAGCTTCTATCTAGAGACTGTGTGCTCATTAGTAAAATAATTGGGGCAGTGGGGAGGACTAAGAAGCAAAGGAATAGTAAAGGCGACAAGAAATAAATTTTTCTGTCTTCCAATAAAGCTCTTTAAAGTAGTTCAGGAAACCTAGCTTTCACTCTCAGGTTACGTACTTTTCTTCTTTGAGGGGACAGGAGTCTGTCTCACTTTTTTGACCTGGCTGGACTAAAGTGGCCCAATCTTAGCTCCCTGCAGCTTCAAATTCCTGGGCTCAAGCAATCCTCTTCCTTCAGCCTTCCATGTAGCTAGATAGGCATGAGCCACCATGCACAGCTAGGTAGTATTTAAATAGGCTAATACAGCCGGAAGAAAGTACAGCATTAGCCAGCCTTTAAGTGTAAAGACTGGTAAAATATTAAGTACTGAAACTGGATAGCAGATATATGGGAGTCCATTATTGCACTTTTGCACACATGAAACATTTCTAAAATGAAAATTTAAAAAGTATACTAGTAATTCCATCAGCCTGGCTTGGTACCCTCCAAGGAAGAAATAAAAAACAGAAAAGGCTTTGGCTATCAGCAGTACAGGTCTTTATACATAAGTTTTAAATAAAATTTATTTATCTTAAATAAAGGCAGTATATACTTAATCTAATTCCAAAGAAACAAATATTTAAAAAATAAGTCTCATTTTACATTTGAACATAAACATACAATTTAATATGCATGTTAAGTGATAAGGCTGGCCAGGCGCGGTGGCTCACACCTGTAATCCTAGCACGTTAGGAGACCAAGGTGGATGGATCACCTGAGGTCAGGAGTTCGAGACCAGCCTGGCCAATATGGTGAAACTGCGTCTCTACTAGAAATATAAAAATTAGCCAGGTGTGATGGCAGGCACCTGTAACTCCAGCTACTCAGGAAGCTGAGGCAGAAGAATTGCTTGAACCTAGGAGGAGGAGATTGTAGTGAGCTGGATTGCGCCATTGCACTCCAGCCCAGGCAAAAAGAGTGAAACTCAGTCTCAAAAAATAAAAAAATTAAAAATTAAAAAAGAAGTAAAAAGGCTATTTATGTTAACTCAAGTACTAATTTATGATGAGTAGCTTTTATCAAACCATCTGAGAAATTCACATAAAGGCTATGACATAATTTTCTTTAAAGGTGAAGTTATATTTTAAAACACTATATAACTAGACATGCAGATAACAAATCCATCTAATTTGATTCTGTTTTAAAAAACTGATGAAAGAGTTCTAAAACTTTTTACAAAAATCCAAAGATCATATAATCAACAAAATGATGCTTACCTTGGACATTCATTAAGAACTTTGGGCTCATCTGGCTGCACGTTTTGCAAAGAATCATTTTTCTCAGATATGACATCTTCCTCTTCAAAATCTTTACACGATTGATCTTCCATGTGTTGAGAAGTCTTGAAAACAAACAATATTTTTTAATGTTTTGGTTTCACAATGTGGCGCAACAGATTTCACTGAAAATGTTGTTCAATTTAAGTATAAAATGGCAAAAAATTTAAAATTATAAAATGGTGACTTTAAAATATATTTAATGCTTTTTCTTTAGCTATCTGAGAAAATTTCATGAGCTACTCCTTTTAGTATATCTCAAAGCCCCATTCTTTTTCTCCTAATCAAAGTAACTGCTTTGGTCTCATTTATTAGAAATGCCCCATGGCATTTCTGAATTCTTTTGATTATTATAATTGCATCATAGACCATGAGGTTTTTTTTGTTTTTTTTTTTTTTAAGACAGGGTCTCACTCCGTCACCCACACTGGAGTGCAATGGCATAATCATAGATAGCTCACTGAAGGCTTGAACTCCTGGGCTCAAGTTATCCTCCCGCCTCAGCTCCCAAGTAGCTGGGACTATAGGAGCACACCATCAAGCCCAGGTTGATGATTCTCAGCAAATTGACACAAGAACAGAAAACCAAACACCACACATTCTTACTCATAGGTGGGTGCTGAACAATGAGAACACATGGACACAGGGAGGGGAACATCACACACTAGGGTCTGTTGGTGGGTGGGGGGCTAGAGAGGGATAGCAGGGGGGGAAATGCCTGATGTAGGTGATGGGGATAGAGGCAGCAAACCACCATGGCATGTGTGTACCTATGTAACAATCCTGCAAGTTCTGCACATGTACCCTAGAACTTAAGTATAATTTTAAAAAATATATTTATTGCTGGGTGCGGTGGCTCACGCCTGTAATCCCAGCACTTTGGGAGGCCGAGGCGGGTGGATCACGAGGTCAAGAGATCGAGACCATCCTGGTCAACATGGTGAAACCCCATGTCTACTAAAAATACAAAAGAAAAATTAGCTGGACATGGTGGCACATGCCTGTAATCCCAGCTACTCAGAAGGCTGAGGCGGAGAATTGCCTGAACCCAGGGGGCGGAGGTTGCAGTAAGCTGAGATCATGCCACTGCACCAGCCTGGATAACAAAATAATAATAATAAAATAAAATAAATAAAAAATATTTATTTATTTATTCATTCATTCATTCATTCTGTAGAAACAGAATGTCACTATATTGACAGACTGGTCTGAGACACCTGGCCTCAAGCAATCCTCTCACCTCAGCCTCCCAAAATGCTGGGATTACAGGTGTGAGTCACCATGCCTGGCCTATGGACCATGGAAATTATAAGAGAAGAAACTGAAATCTCAAAACATGCCAACTTTTACCTTTATCACAGACTATGTAAATAATCTAAAATTCATAGTCTTTGTTCTTGAAATTGCATCTTAGTAGGGAGCTTTTAACTTTTTTTCTTTTTTTTTTTGAGATGGAGTTTCGCTCTTGTTACCCAGGCTGGAGTGCAATGACTCGATCTCGGCTCACTGCAACCTTCGCCTCCTGGGTTCAGGCAATTCTCCTGCCTCAGCCTCCTGAGTAGCTGGGATTACAGGCACGCGCCACCATGCCCAGCTAAATTTTTGCATTTTTAGTAGAGACGGGGTTTCACCATGTTGACCAGGATGGTCTCAATCTCTCGACCTTGGGATCCACCCGCCTCGGCCTCCCAAAGTGCTGGGATTACAGGCGTGAGCCACCACGCCCAGCCCGCTTTTAACATTTTATGCTGTTTAAGCCAATGTTAAAACTCACATATGCATTAATCTCTTCAAAAGAGGAGGTTAATTCAAATATCCACTAAGTTACAGGAAAAACCAAATCCAAATATGAGGTCAGGTGACACAGATTACCTATCATGTAAATGCTCAAACTCTAAAATGGCTTTATAATTAGCAAGGCTGCTGGCTATAAGATTTTACCATAAATTTAACAAATGATTCACACAAATTGTGAGGTAATGTTTTTAAAAGGGAGTAGAGGGGTTGGGCATGGTGGCTCACACATGTAATCCAAGCACTGTGGGAGGTTGAGGCATGTGGATCACCTGAAGTAAGGAGTTTGAGACCAGCCTCGCCAACATGGTGAAAACCCATCTCCACTAAAAATACAAAAATTAGTTGGGCTTGGTGGTGTGCACCTGTAGTTTCAGCTACTAGGGAGGCTGGAGGCAGGAGAATCTCTTCAACCTGGGTGGTAGAGGTTGCAGTGAGCCAAGGCATTCTAGCCTGGGTGACAGAAGAGACTCTGTCTCAAAAAAATAAATAAGTATGTTAAGGGTGAAGGGAAGCTCATATTAAGGCTCATGTACTTGTTTAACAAAAATGTGAGGAGGAATCAGAGTACTTACATCTCTACCAACACAGGATTCATTTTGATTCTTTTCATCTCTATCAACACAGGATTCATTTTCATTCATTTCTACATTGGCCCCAATTTCTTGCTGTGATATGAGAATTTCTTTTCTTTTAGCAGCTTTACCTACATTTGGCTTTGGCTTTTGCAATCGGCCCCTCACTTGTGCAGGTCTGAACGCCTTTAGTTGATTACCTTCCTGCAGACACTTTTTTTCACCCACACTAGAACCACAAAGGAGTAAAATAAATGTTTATTTTGAAGTCACAAATTTCCTTCTCCCTGGCATGAATAAGTAAACCATGTGGAATATGAAATAATTCACAAGTGTCCTGAAAAGACATAATCCAGCTGGGCACAGTGGCTCACACCTGTAATCCCAACACTTTGGGAGGCCAAAACGGGAGGATCATTTGAGGTCAGGAGTTCGAGACCAGCCTGGCCAACATGGTGAAACCCCATCTCTACTAAAAATACAAAAATTAGCCAGGCATGGTGGTGGGCACCTGTAATCCCAGCTACTTGGGAAGCTGAGGCAAGAGAATTGCTTGAACCCGGGAAGTAGAGGTTGCAGTGAGCAGAGACTGGGCCACTTCGAGACAGAGCAAGACTCCATCTCAAAAAAAAAGAAAAAGAAAAAGACAAGACACGATCCTGGAAGCCTATTTTAAAAAGCAATTTTAAATAGAATTCTATTATAAAATTGGAAAAATCTACATCTGACAAGCATGTAATACTATTCTTAAGGATACTATAGAATAATGTACAACTCCAGGGGATTAATCCCAAATCATGATATAAATGGTAACTCCTGAACAGCCCAGAATCCACCAGTCATATTGACAATGGACTGAAGCCTCTTCTAGATTTCCATTTCAAGTTAAATATTCCCTTTTGAAATGCCTTGCTATAAATAAAATTATCCAAGAACATATATTGTAACCACTGAAATGTAACAGCTAACTCAATAGATTCATAAAATTTACATAAGCAATATCAAACAGAGAATTCTTAATGTTTCAAAACCACCTGTGGTTGAAAATAAACAAGGTACACAACTTGAAAATAAAATTCAGACCTTATTAAGTAGAAGACAAATTATTACAATGATTCCTAAGAGATACTATTTTTATACTACTTCCTGAATACTTACATAGATACAGTTTCAGCTTCTGGAGTCTCTCTCTCTGTAGTCTCCATTCTCAGAATGTCCAAAGTATTCATTTTATCCTTTTCCATGTGGTTCTGTGAATTTAATTTCCTACAATTTATCTACTTACCATAAAAAGTTCAAACTTTGTAATAAATAGAAATTGAAACAACAGAACTGGCCCAGAGCAGTGGCTCAAGCCTGTAATCCTAGCACTTTGGGAGGCCAAGGCAGGTGGACTGCCTGAGCTCAGGAGTTGGAGACCAGCCTGGGCAACAGGGTGAAACCCCACTTCTACTAAACTATAAAAAAATTAGCCAGGCGTGGCAGCATGCCCCAGTAGTCCCAGCTACTTGGGAGGCTAAGGCGGGAGAATTGCTTAAACTTGAGAGACAGAGATTGCAATGAGCTGAGGTCACATCACTGCACTCTAGCAGCGGTGATGGAGTAAGACTTTGCCTCCAAAAATAAATAAATATGAACTACAATTTTTGTACTTCTAACTAGAACACATTTTCTAAAACTCCTAAACGCAGATGAGAATTTTTTTTCCTTTTTCTTTTTAGACGGGGTCACACTCTGTTGCCCAGGCTAGAGTACAGTGATACCTCACGGCAGCCTTGACCTCCCAGGTTCAGGTGATCCTCCCACCTCAGCCTCCTGAGTAGCTGGGACTACAGGTACATACCATGCCCAGCTAGTTTTTTCTCTTTATTGTACAGACTGGATCTCACCATGTTGCCCAGGCTAGTTTCAAACTCCTGGTCTCAGGTGATCAGCCTGCCTCAGCCTCCCAAAGCGCAAGGCTTACAGGTGTGAGCCACAACACCTGGTGTACATTTTTTTTTTTTTTGAACAAAAATGGAATCACACTAAATATTTCAGAAAGATGTTTCTGAAATGTTAATTACTAAAGGATACAAAACTGAATTGAAACCATGACTCAGGACAGGCATGGTGCCTCACGCCTATAGTCCCAGCACTTTGGGAGGCCGAGGTGGACAGCTCACAAGGTCAGGAGTTCAAGACTAGCCTGGCCAACATGGTGGAATCCCCTGTTAAAAATACAAAAATTAGCCAGGTGTAGTAGCAAATGCCTGTAATCCCAGCTACTCAAGAGGCTGAGGCAGGAGAATTGCCTGAACCCAGGAGGTGGAGGTTGTGGTGAGCCGAGATCGTGCCATTGCACTCCAGCCTGGGTAACAAGAGTGAAACTCCATCACAAAAATAAAAAATAAAAAATAACAAAAGACAATGTATAACAAGAGTCATAAAAATATTTAAAATATTATTTGACCCAACAATCCCATCATCTCTAGAAATTTATCCTTTGTCTGTATCCTTGAGAGAGTCTTATTTATAAAATTGTTTGCTTCTAATATACAAGTTAAAAAAACAAACAAGCACAGACACAAGAAGGAAGCCATACAGGAGAATCCTGGGCAGAAAAGCACCATCAGTTTTAACGCCGCTGCTCTGGCCCTGGGAACTAACAACCTGGACATCCACTCAAGAGACCTAATCTGAAAGTTGGTAATTTCAAAGACGAGAGGAGGATAAACTTACAATGACGGGAAGAAACCAGCATAAAAATGCTGAGAATACTCAAAGTCAGAACGCCTCTCCCTCTAAAGATGATCACAGTTCCACATCAACAATGGAACAAGGCTTGATGGAGAACGAGCGCATCCTGATGACAGAATCACTCTTCAAGGAATGGATAATAACAAACTTTGGTGAGTTAAAAGAACATGTTGTAACCCAACGTAAAGAAACTAGGAACTTTAAAAAAAAGTTTGATGAAATCCTATTGAGAATAGACAACTTAGAGAGGAGTATGAGTGAAATAATGGAACTGAAGAATACAATACAGGAACTCCGAGAAGTATGCACAGGTTTAAACACTCGAATTGTTCAAGCAGAAGAAGGGATATCAGAGGTCAAAGTCCAACTTAATGAAATAAAACGTGAAGAAAAGATTAGAGAAAAAAGGATAAAAAGGAATGAGCAAAGTCTCCAAGAAATGTGGGACTATGTGAAAAGACCAAATTTACGTTTGATAGGTGTACCTGAATGCTACAGAGAGAATGAATCCCAGCTGGAAAATACCCTTCAGGATATTATTCAGGAAAATTTTCCTAAACTAGCAAAGCAGGTCAACATTCAACCCCAGGTAATACAGAGAACACCACAAAGATATTCCTCAAGAAGAGCAACCCCAAGGCACATAATCGTTAGATTCACCAGGGTTGAAACGAAGGAGAAAATACTAAGGGCAGCCAGAGAGAGAGGTCAGGTTACCCACAAAGGGAAGCCTATCAGACTTACAGCAGATCTCTCAGCAGAAACTCTACAAGCCAGAAGAGAGTGGGGGCCAATATTCAACATCCTCAAAGAACAGAACCTTCAGCCCAGAATTTCATATCCAGCCAAAATAAGCTTCACAACTGAAGGAAAAGTAAAATCTTTTATGAACAAGCAAGAACTCAGAGATTTTATTACCACCAGGCCTGCTTTACAAGAGCTTCTGAAAGAAGCATTACACACAGAAAGAAACAACCAGTATTAGCCTTTCTAAAAATACACCAAAAAGTAAAGAGCACCAACATAAAGAAGAATTTACACCAACGAATGGATAAAACAGCCAGTCAACATCAAATGGCAGTAACCCTAAATTTAAATTGACTAAATCCCCCAATCAAAAGACACAGCCAAAACCCAATGGCATGTTACATCCAGACCTGTTTCACATGCAAGGATACACAAAGACTCAAAACAAAGGGATGGAGAAAGATGTACCAACCAAATGGAGAGCAAAAATAAATAAATAAATAAATAAATAACAGTAGTTGCAATTCTCGTATCGGATAAAATAGATTTTAAAGCAACAAAGATATAGTGGTAAAAGGATCAACGCAACAACAAGAGCTAACGATCCTAACACCCAGATATGAGACTTAGATTCAATGAGACAAAAAATTAATAAGGATATCAAGGACTCGAACTCAGATCCGAAACAAGTAAACTTAATAAATATTTATAGAGCTCTCCACTTCAAATACACAAAATATACATTCTTGTCAATACCACATCACACCTACCCATAAGTTTAAATGAAACATTGATTGGCCATTATTAATACCCAATTTTTTTCAAAATAAAGCAATATTTCCATTTACTCTCCCTCTTTCTCTTCCTCTTTCTTCCTCTCCTTTACTTATTTTTTTTCTTTCCTTCTCTCAAAAAAAAAACAAGCAAAAATAGAAACAACCTGAACATCCATCAGTAGCATGTGAATAATGTAGCATGTGAATATTGATTACATAAATCAATAATATGTTAACCTGAGATAGCTATTAAAAAGATCAATGGGACCAAAAAAAGTGTAAATTAATAGTTTCAGAGAAAAAGGTTATTATTTTTTATGTTTTTGAGATAGAGTTTCGCTCTGTCACCCAGGCTAGAGTGCAGTGGCACAATCTTGGCTCACTGCAACCTCCTCCCTCCTGGGTTCAACCAATTCTCATGCCTCAAACTCCCAAGTAGTTGGGATTACAGGTGTGTGACACAATGGCCAGCTAATTTTTATGTTTTTAGTAGAGATGGGGTTTTGTCATGTTGGCCAGGCTGGTTTCAAACTCCTGGCCTAAAGTGATCCACCCGCCTTGGTCTCCCAAAGTGCTGGGATTACAGGTGTGCACCACTGTGGCCAACTGAAAAAGTTTTGGCCAGGCACAGTGCCTCACACCTATAATCCAGCACTTTGGGACGTGGGGGCAGGCAGATCACAAGGTCAGGAGTTTGAGACCAGTCTGGCCAATATGGTGAAACCCTGTCTCTACTAAAAATATAAAACATAGCTGGGCATGGAGGCACATGCCTGTAATCCCAGCTACTTGTGAGGCTTAGGCAGAATTGCTTGAACGCAGGAGGCGGAGGTTGCAGTGAGCTAAGATCATGCCACTGCACTGCAGCCTGGTGACTCTGTCTCAAAGAAAAAAAAAAATTGTAAAAACAAAAGACTAGTAAAATAGGAACATATACCTTTTTTATATATATGTACTTTAAGTTCTGGGGTGTATGTGCAGACCGTGCAGGATTGTTACACAGGTATACACATGCCACAGTGGTTTGCTGCATCTATCCCCCCATCATCTAGATTAGGTATTTCTCCTAATGTTATCTCTCCCCAACTCCCCCACCCTGTTATCCCTCCCTTAGCCTCCGCACCCCCCAATAGACCCTGGTGTGTGATGACCCGTGTCCATGTGTTCTCTTGTTAAACACCCACTTATAAGTGAGAACATGTGGTGTTTAGTTTTCTGTTCTTGTGTCAGTTTGCTGAGAATGATGGTTTCCAGCTTCATCCATATCCCTGCAAAGGACATGAACTCATCCTTTGTTATGGCTGCATAGTATTCCATGGTGTATATGTGCCACATCTTCTTTATCCAGTCTATCATTTATGGGCATTTGGGTTGGTTCCAAGTCTTTGCTATTGAAAACAGTGCCACAATGAAGATACGTGTGCATATGTCTTTATAATAGAATGCTTTATAATCCTTTGGGTATATACCCAGTATTGGGATTGCTGGGTCAAATGGTATTTCTATTTCCAGATCCTTGAGGAATTGCCACACTGTCTTCCACACTGGTTGACTAATTTACACTCCTACCAATAGTGTAAAAATGTTAAGATAGGAACAAATCTAATGTTAAGTTCTTGTATCTGTTTTAATATTAGTAACAGTGCTTTGCAATTACAAGTCAAAAATTTATATTCCTATTTAGGGAAAATTTTTATAATTTTAATTTCCATAAAGTCTCTTACGCCATACCTTTTCAACAGAAATTTCTGAGTGTGAATTCTTGCTCTCTGCCTCTGTTTTGCCTTCTGAAAGAACTGATTTCTTCCCAGCCCTTGACAAATTGGGTTTAGGTCTCTGGAAGTGACCTCTCAACATCGGTTTAACATTTTCTGTTTGATCAATTTCCCTGAAAAATAAACATTATTTAAATAGCATCCAACATACAATAATGTCCAAATGAACTTCTAAAATAACCTATTGAGAACTAGAAAGAACTTCTTTGAGAGCTCACTTAGAGTAAGAGTAGCAAAGAAAACTTAAAAAGAAGAGAATAACTTGTTCTATCTGATATTAAAAATATACTACTCATCAGTAATCAAACAGTGTTATTAATATATGAATAAATAAATAAAACAAATTTAAAATCCAGAAAATGACTCCAAAATAGACATGATTTTGGCATATACTGAAGGTAGCATCTCACAATAAGGAAGATAAGATGAAATGCAATATAATACAGTGAGGATAAAATTAATAAATACTAAGATTAAATGAAGATGGGAAGGCTGGGCATGGTGGAAGATAAGATGAAATGCAATATAATACAGTGAGTATAAAATTAATAAATACTAACTAAGATTAAATGAAGATGGGAAGGCTGGGCATGGTGGCTCATGTCTATAATCCCAGCACTTTGAGAAGCCGAAGTGGGTGGATCACCTTTGGGAAGCCGAGGTCAGGAGTTTGAGACCAGCCTGATCAACATGGTGAAACCCATTTCTATTAAAAATACAATTACTCAGGTGTGGTAGCACGTGCCTGTAGTCCCAGCTACTCAAGAGGCTGAGACAGGAGAATCGCTTGAACCTGGGAGGCAGAGGTTGCAGTAGGCCAAGATGGCGCCACTGCACTCCAGCCTGGGCAACAAGAGCAAGACTGTCTCAAATTAGAAAAAATAAAAAAACATTAGCTGGATGTGGTAGTGTGCACCAGCTACTTGGGAGACTAAGGTGGGAAGATCACCTAAGCCTGGGAGGTCGAGGTTGCAGTGAGTTATAATCACACCAGTGAACTCTTGCCTGGGCAACAGAGTGCAACCTTGTCTCAAATAAATAAATAAACAAATATCATAAATGTTTAAAGGTGTATGTGTGTGTGTACACACCATATGTTCTGTCAGCTCAGGAACTTACGCTAAAAATACACTTGTATATAGGCGAAAAGACAGAGGTACAAGACTATAAACATCGTTCAGTAAAACAACCTACACAGCAGTCAATAGGGCACTGTTCTACAAAAAGAACAACGAGAGTCTCTATGTAAGACTATGAAAAGACAGAAGAAAACAGCTACAAAATGTTATATATAGTATACTGTCATTAAGTTTATAATTAGAGCAAAAAATATAAATTTGTATAGCTTGAATGTACTTTTTTTTAATCTCTGAAAGAATATAAGAAATAACATGGACTGTCTGAGTGTAAGGGGACAGGTAAGAGGGAGAGTTCAATCATACCTTTTTATACTTTTTGATGTTTGAACCCTACAAATGTACTGCCTATTTCAAAGACTAATTTACATTTTGATTTTTTAAACGTTTGATTTCTATTGTGACAGTACTTTACTGAAAAATAAACTGAATAAACTTTAAGCCCATATAAGATGAGGAGTTATAAGGAATATTAAAAGTAAGTATAAAATCTTTAATTATCTCTTCAAAGGGAGATTTTTATAATGCTTTTAATAGTTTCTTGGGAAGATATTAATTTAACAAGAATCTACATACTAGAAGATATACTTCCTTGAAATCATCAATATCAAAATCCATTATTTTGATACCAAGCATTAAAAAAAAATCAAATCAAGTAAAAATAAAATTTCATGGTAAATATTTAGGCTTCCAAATTGTTTTAGAATTTCATAAGTTACCACCTTCCTAAAATTCATATCATTATTATACATCAGCTATGCAAGAGAATCTTTCTGCAATGAAATACAAAGTAAAACACCTGATGTTATACTCTTAACAGACCACAGTATAGTTACACATTAAATGATCCCCTCTACTATTAATAAACTATGTATTAATGGTGCCCTCTAATCCTTAAATAAAGCAACATTATTATCATTTAAGAACCTTATCAAAATTTTAGAAATAAATCCTATTGTATAAAATACTTACAGTGACTTTTCTTTTAGGTCAATATTTCTTTCTTCTCTATAGCTACCCACAGCATTATTCACCTCACACAATGCTCTAATTCCAACTTCTAATGAAGGCAAATCTGGAGTGCTTGATTCTGAAGCCTCAGTTGCTACTGCTATGACATCTTGTTGATTACTAAAAAAAAAAGAAAACTGTATCAGAGAGAGATTTCCTAATAATACATATTTTATAATTATTTTTAAAAATTTTAAACACACAAAATCACCATTTTGCAAGATGCTGCTTCACATTATAGAAGAATACAAACTGCTGTATTAGCTTTTCTATGATCCATCTTGCATCATGTTATAGAAAACTGTACCACCAGAGAAGTGCAGCTGCAAATTTACACGCTTAGGAACATGCTCAAGAAGTTTCAAAATGAAGGCATGGCGGCTCACGCCTGTAATGCCAGTACTTTGGGAGGCCGAGGCAAGCAGATCACTTGAGGCCAGGAGTTTGAGACCATCCTGGCCAACATGGTTAAACCCTGTCTTTACTAAAAATACAAAAACTAGCTGGACATAGTGGTGCAGACTTATAATCCCACCTACTCAAGAGACTGAGGCACCAGAATCATTTGAACCCAGGAGGTGAAGATCACACCACTGTACTACAGCCTGGGTGACAGAGCAAGATTCTATCTCAAAAAACAGGCTTCAAAATGAGAAATTATTAAATGGGGTTTACAAATCAAACATGTGTAAAATAATAGTAATATTCAGGAATTAGCTTTCATTAAAATTTATATAGGCAATCCTTGCTTTGCAGGGTACTGTGTAACCAAGACATATAAAGCGAGGAAGACACAGCTCCAATAAGCTCAAGTTGCAGTTAACATAGTCCTACACAAAGTGAGAATTACAGTATTAAAAAAAATTCAAGTATGAGCCAGGTATAGTTGCACATGCCTGTAGTCCCAGCTACTCAGAAGGCTGAAGTGAGAGGATTACTTAAGCCCAGGAACTCAAGGCTGCAGTGACCTGAGATTGCACCACGGCACTCCAGCCTGGGCGACAGAGCAAGATCCTGTCACAAAATAAATTTCAACTAATTTTACTACTGTCAAACATCAATCTTATCTTTTAAAGTCTGTGTTTTCTATGTCTTACTAAATGCTTAACATTACAAAGATATTTTTCTACATTTCTTCTAAAAGTTGTAAAGATTTGTTTTTAGTCTTCAATCCATCAAGAAGTTAGTGGCTATGGTAATCCAAGGATAAAATATTACATTTTTCAAATCTCAACACAATCTAATGAATAGTTAGTTCAATCTTTTCCCCCTAATTTCTAAAGCTACCTCTGCCATATGACAGATTCCTAAATGTGTCTTCCTAAACTCTACATTCAGTTCCACTGCGTCAATTCGTCTAAATCTGTACCAATACCATGCTGTTGTAGTTATTCTAGCTTGAACATTAGTCTAGGACAGGGAGTCCCTCTCCAAAGTTGGTGTTTTTTAAAACTGTCTTTATCACTGGTGAGCCTTTGTTCTTGTGTACACGACAATTTTAGAATAAACTCTCTGTTTTCCAAAAACAACTGGGACTTTAACAGTCATTACAGGGTTATTTTTTCCCTAAATTAGAAAAAGTTGGGGCCAGACACAGTAGCCCACATTGAGGTGTGAGAATCACTTGAGCCCAGGAGTTTGAGACCAGCCTGGAAAACAACTCTATTAAGATTAGCTAGGTGTGGTGTCCCATGACTGCAGTCCCAGCTTCTCGAGAGGCTCTTACAAAAATTAACAATAATTTTAAAAAATTATTTTAAAAATTAGAAAAAGCCATGAGTAAAGTTTTATGTAGTTTATGGAATTAGGTGTATCTCTGAAGTCACACTTTAGATATCTGTCAATTAGGAACAAACAACTGAGAAATAGCATTAGATTCCACTTATGTAAAATATCTAGATTAGACAGAGGCATGAAGACAGAAAGTAGTCTACAGCCTTACCCCTCTGAATGGGCCTAATTTGATCTCAAGCTAAGCAAGTCTGGGCCTGTTTAGTACTTGGATGGGAGACAGAAAGCAGATTAGAGATTATCAGTGGTTACAGCAAGGGGAAAAAGAGAAATTACTGCATAATTTTCTGTTTGCAGTAATAAAAATAGCTTTATAAATGGTGTTGATGGCTGCACAACAATGTAAATCTAACTAATGGCACTAAATTATATGCTTAAAAATAATTAACAGCTTTAAGTTTGTTTTTGGCAATAGTTTCTTAGATATGACACCCAAAAGTATAGGAAACAAAAGCAAAATTAGACATGGGACTACATTAAACTAAAAAGCTTCTGTACACCAAAGGAAACAGGAGACAGAATGAAAAGGCAACCTATGGAACAGGAGAAAATGTGCAAGTCATATTTCTGATAAGGGGCTAAAATCCAAACTATATGAGTAATTCTTGAAACTCAACAGCAAAAAATAAAATAACCTAATTAAAAATTGGGCACAAGCCGGGTGCGGTGGCTCAAGCCTGTAATCCCAGCACTTTGGGAGGCCGAGGTGGGTGGATCACAAGGTCAAGAGATCGAGACCATCCTGGTCAACTGGTGAAACCCCATCTCTACTAAAAATACAAAAAATTAGCTGGGCATGGGGGCGTGTGCCTGTAATCCCAGCTACTCAGGAGGCTGAGGCAGGAGAATTGCCTGAACCCAGGAGGCGGAGGTTGTGGTGAGCCGAGATCGCGCCATTGCACTCCAGCCTGGGTAACAAGAGCGAAACTGTCTCAATAAAAAAAAAAAAAAAAAAAAAATTGGGCACAGGACCTCAATAGACATTTCTCCAAAGAAGACATACAAATGGCTAACAGCTAGAAAGATGCTCAACATCAAAAATAATCCAGGAAGTGCAAATCAAAAGAAACATAAGATATTACCTTCTATTCGTTCAGAGAGACATTATTAATAAAATTAAAGACTCCATTAATTGAAGAGGATGTGAAAAAAACTGGAACCCTTGAACACTGTTGGTGGTTATGTAAAATGGTTCACCCACTATTGGAAACAGTATGAGGGTCCTCAAGAAATTAAAAGTAGAATGACCATGTGATCTAGCAACCCCACTTCTGGGTATTTATCTACAAAAATTGACATCAGGATCTCAAAGAGATATTTGCACTCCCATTTTCAGTGATGCCAATAGACAGAAACAACCTAAATGTCCGTCAACCAATGACTGGATAAGGAAAATACGGCATATACATGTAATGGAGTATTATTCAGTCATAAAAAAGGAAATCTTGCCCTGGAGTGGTGGCTCACGCCTGTAATTCTAGCACTTCAGAAGGCTGAGGCAGGTGGATCACAAGGTCAGGAGTTCAAGACCAGTCTAGCCAACAAAGTGAAACCCACCTCTACTAAAAATACAAAAAAAAATTAGCCAGGTGTGGTGGTGCGCACCTATAATCCCAGCTACTCAGGAGGCTAAGGAAGGAGAACTGCCTGAACCCAGGAGGCAGGGTTTGCAGTGAGCCAAGAGCACACCATTGCACTCCAGCCCCGGAGACAGTGCAAGACTCAAGTCTCAAAAAAAAAGGGAAATCCTGTCATATACTACAACATGGATAAAACTTCAAGATATTACACCAAGTGAAATAAGCCAGTTACAAAAATATACTCCAGTAGGTACTGTGGTTCACACCTGTAATCCCAGCACTTTGGGAGGCCAAGGCGGGTGGATCACCTGAGCTCCGTTCAAGACCAGCCTGAACAACATGGTGAAACCCCATCTCTACTAAAAATACAAAACATTAGCTGGGTGTGGTGGTACATGCTGATGGTCCCAGCTACTTGGAGCCTTGGAGGCTGAGGCTGCAGTGAGCTGAGATCATGCCACTGTACTCCAGCCTGGGTGACAGAGTGAGACCCCCACCTCAAATACAAAACAAAACAAAGAAAAAGAAAGAATCATGATTGCCAAGGGCTAGGAGGAAGAAATGAGAGTTGCTGTTCAATGGGTATAGAGGTGCAGTTATGCAAGGTAAAAAAGAATTCCAGAGATCGGCAATATAACACTGTGCTTGTAATTAACAATACTGTATACTACACATAAAAAATCTGTTAAGAGGGTAAATCTCATGTTGTTGTATTACAAATTAAATCAAATTTTAAAGCACACACACAGCAGGACACATGATATTCAAACTAATGAAAACCAAAGACAGAGAAAACCGTCACAGAAAATGATAAACTCATGCAAACATCAACCAAAAGAAAGCCACAATGGCAAAGCAAACATCAGAAAAAAAGAGCAATACCAGAAGGGCAGTATACAATGATAAAGGGAATTTTACCAAGAAGATAAAAGAATCCTAGATATGTACACATCTAACAACAGAGCTTCAAAATATATGAGGCAAAAAAAAAATAGAACTGAAAAAACAAAACAGGCAAATCCACAGTTACAGATGGAGACTTCAACACTCCTTTCTCAGTAATCAACAGATGTGGATAAAACCAGATGTAGAAAATACCTTAATGAAAGGATGGGGTCAGTTCTTTTCTCAACTTTTTCACTGGAGGCAGAACTCACAATGCCATTTATGGAAGGCATCTGCTCCTTACTACATTCGCCTTCCTTTACCTCAGGCCTTACAGACTGACATTTATCTACAAATACAAAATGCATGTTATTCTAAAAATGACAGCAAAAACACCTTTTTTAAAGCACAAAGGAATTTACCTATAACACAGTCTTTTCCTACAAAACCTTAATCCATTCAACATTCAAGTTCCTATCTGCAAGGCACACATCTTATTTTTAGACCATAATAAAAGCTTAACATATATGAGGATCAGCCCAAGCCTCTTAGGCAGTTTGTAGCATCTTCCTTTTATCATAAATTTTAAGTATTTAAAGTGACTAATTTTCTATGTCAAGTAAGGAACTAAAGGTTGATTTAACTATTTTTTTGCTCCTTCAGAAGTGTACTTTTTTTAGACGTGTACTAATTAATAACAGTGATAGCTATTATTTATTAAGTGACAGGAACCCTTAAGTCCATAAGATGCATTATCTCATTTAATACTTGAAACAGTCCTATTAAAAGGTATTAATATTAATCTCACAGAGAACCACCTGAGTTCAGAGATCTTAAATAACTTGCCTAATGCAATACTTAAGCAAGTAAAAAAGCTGGAATTTAAAGCAAGGTCTGTTTGATTTCTAAAACCTGTTTGTGAATCATTAAGCTATTCTGCATTATATGTAATGACTCTAAGGGTAAGCCAAAAAAAGAGGCTAATACTGTGATGTCTACAAAGCATACTATGTTAGCTACCAGGACTCTTATTACAATCAGATGGGTAGGCCTGGCATGGTGCCTCACACCTGTAATCCCAGCACTCTGGGAGGCTGAGACAGCCAGATTGCAGGGTCCAGAGATCGAGACCATCCTGGCCAACATGGTGAAACCCCATCTGTACTAAAAATACAAAAGTTAGCAGGGCACAGTGGTGTGCGCCTGTAGTCCCAGCTACTTGGGAGGCTAAGGCAGGAGAATTGCTTGAACCTGGAGGTGGAGGTTACCATGAGCCAAGATCGTGCTACTTACAGCACTCCAGCCTGGCAACAGAGCCAGACTCTATCTCAAAAATATAAATAAAAATAAAATCAGATGGGTAAATCTCAACTATGGAAAATACCAATTTTATAGAAAGGTTGTTCTGGTCTGCTCCTACCTTTTATCAGCTTTAAATAATCTATATATGAACTCCTAAGAAAGGGACCAGGACTTCCCGTCAAACTCTTAGCCCTCATCCCCAAGCAACTCCTAAGTGGCAATATGTTTGCATTCGAAGAGTAAAAAAGAAAAATGGAAGGAATACATATTCCATTAGTTCTTTTATAGGAATTAAACAATCCCTTGTGAGTTCACAGAGGTGCGCTATAGAGGTACAACATGAAACCTGTGTTTTATTAACAGATATAAGCAACATACTTTTAAATATATAGACATGTGATTTCTAATCATAGTTAATGAGAAGGCACAGGAGGTGATACATCTTAGAAACAAACTTTAGAGGCTTCTGCCCCGCCCCTCAAGGCAGTCAGGTGGAGTGTGGGGGGTCATTTAAAAAAAAAAAAAACTTTAGAGAACAATTTCCCCACTTTAATTTGTTTCCTTTAACTTTTTTCTACAATAAACTTTTTTCCTTTAATTAAAAATAAATAGCATTAGCGCAGTACCATGAATACAGAACCGATTAATAAGCATCATTAATTGCTATCTAGACAGAAAATTAAGTTAAATACCATATTACTGTACAGTCTTCTCAAGTAATATAAAGGCTTTTTAAATATAACTTACTCTTTTGTTTTTTTCCTTTAGAAGGACCCGCCTGAACAGTGGCATTTTCTAAAAGATTGTTTACTTCCAGTTCATTAGCCTTATCTTGATTCTTCCTTCTTCGTTTCTTTTGATTTAGGTCTACTTCTAATGCAACCTGTTCTGCATCCTCCCCTGATAAAGTCAGAGACTCTTCTTCAACTGTCTGAGCATCCTGAGATCTTTCTGTGTCTGAAACTCTAGAACTCATAGACTCATCTGGATCATCATTCACTCCTTCACAGGCAACTTTTTTGACTGAAAACAAGAGAAATGGCTATAAATATGTAAACAACCTAAAGAAAAATTTGTAAAGGTGGAGAAGATACTCAAAGATGTCCTCTGTAGTATTTATTCATATAAGCAAAAAACCTAAAGACAACCTAAAATGTCCAGTGGGAAATGACTAAATAATATATAAAAATCCATGCAGCCAAAAACAATGAGGTAAATTTATACATACTCATGTGAAAAATTTCAAAGCATATTGTTGCATTTAAAAAAATCAAGTGGCAGTCAGGTGTGGTGGCTCATGCCTGTAATCCCAGCACTCTGGGAGGCCAAGCAGGCGGATCACGAGGTCAGGACATAGAAACCATGCTGGCCAAAATGACGAAACCCCGTCTCTACTAAAAATACAAAAAATTAGCTGGGCACGGTGGTGTGTGCCTGTAATCCCAGCTACTCAGGAGGCTGAGGCAGGCAGGAGAATTGCCTGAACCCAGGAGGCGGAAGTTGCGGTGAGCCGAGATCGCGCCATTGCACTCCAGCCTGGGTAACAAGAGCGAAACTCCATCTCAAAAAAAAATCAACTGTATCAAAAGGTGAAAACATGAATTTTTTCTAAAAACTGTAGATCACCAAGAAACAGCATCTACTATATTTGAATGTTTGTCCCTTCCAAAATGCATGATGAAATTTAATTGCCATTGTAACATTATTAAGAGGTAGAACATTTAAGAGGTGACAGGACATGAGGGCTCTGCCCTCATTAGAACTAGCACTGTTATGAAAGGGCAGGTTTGGCCCCCTCCTGCTCTCTCTTTGCTTTTCTGTCATGTGATGACACAGCAAGAATACCCTTGCCAGATGACAGTGCCTCCATCTTAAGAGAAATAAATTTCTGTTCTCTATACATTACCTGATATAGCAGCCTAAAACTAAGTCAGTCTCCAAAGCAAAAGCAAGCTTAACTTCATAGCCATGGTTGATCAGATATTTTCTCTAAAAATATCTAATCTCAAATGGTAATGACATTCAATGTTATTTACTTTTGTTTTTAAAAAAGTTAGGCCATGCGCGGTAGCTCATGCCTGTAATACCTGTAATACGTTGGGAGGCCAAGGCAGAGGGATCACTTGAGGCCAGGAGTTCAAGAGCAGCCTGGGCAATACTGCAAGACTCTGAGTCTACAAAAATTTTTTTTGAATTAGCTGAGCATAGTGGCACACACCTGCAGCCCTAGCTATTCAGGAGGCTGAGGTGGGAGGATCACTTGAGCCCAGGAATTTGAGACTGCAGTAAACTATGAGTGCATCAGTGCACTCCAGACTGCACAAAAGAGCAAGACCCTATCTCAAAAGTAAATGGTAAACAAAATTAAATTTAAAAGATTAGAATTTTAAAATTGAGAAAATAAATCTGATTAATTTTATAAGAATAATCATTTTTTAAAATCTGAGATGTAATAACATATCTAAAAAGTTTGGCTGGGCGTGGTGGCTCGCGCCTGTAATCCCAGCACTTTGGGAGGCTGAGGCGGGCAGATCACCTGAGATGAGGAGTTCGAGACCAGCCTGACCAACATGGTGAAACCCCGTCTCTACTAAAAATACAAAATTAGCCAGGTGTGGTGGCACATGCCTACAATCCCAGCTACTTGGGAAGCTGGGGCAGAAGAATCGCTTGAACCTAGGAGGCAGAGGTTGCAGTGAGCTGAGATGGTGCCATTACACTCCAGCCTAGACAACAAGAGCAAAACTCCATCTCAAAAAAAAAAAAACTTTCTGGTTGGGTGTGGTGGCTCACACCTGCAATCCCAGTACTTTGGGAGGGCAAGGTGGGCGGATCATTTGAGGTCAGGAGTGTAAGACCAGTCTGGCCAACATAATGAAACGATCTCTAACAAAAATTACAAAATTTAGCCTGGTGCATGGTGGCACATGCCTGTAATCCCAGCTACTAAGGAGGCTGAGGTGAAATAACTGCCTGAACCCGAGTAGTGAAGGATTCAGTGAGCCGAGATTGTGACACTACATTGCAGCCTGGGCGACAAAGTGAGACCCTGTCTCAAAAAAAAAGTTCTCATATTAAGTAAGGTAACAGTGAGTTACTCATGTTATCACCTGTAACATGATAATCACAAGAAGATATATATTTTAATCTTCTAGGATTATGCATAGTAAGTAAAAAAAAAAAATGACTATTCAGAATAAAGATATTTTGCAGTTATCAATACTACTTTTTAAAAGATATAGGCCCCATGCTCCAGAAGAAATTCTAGCCTGGCTTTGAACAGAAAAGAGTTAATGTAGCAGGCTTGACTGCTATCCTTTGAAAATCCTTCTTATAAGGTTGGCCCTTGGGCCATGTCTCAGCATTTGGTTTTGGAAAGAGTTCCTACCACCCTGATTATTAGTGGCTTACTGTGCCTTAGTTGTAAAATGTGGTTTATGCCAAACTGCTTTCCTTCTGGAAATCTGAAAGTGTGATATGTTCCAGGCAGAGGAAGATGAATCGCGAGTCTTGGTGAATAATTAAACCCTGGGAGATGGTTGTGGGGACCCCCAACATAGGCTCTGACAATCCTACGTTTCAGTTCTGCCACTGCCACTACTCACACTGTGAGTCCTTAGGAAAAACTGTCTTACAACCTCTGGGGCTACTTCTTGGTGATTAAAACCAATAGAAAAGGAGCTAAAATGTAAACTAAATAACATATAAGGTTCCCTATAGTTCCAAGCATCTTCTTTATGTGATTATAGCTAAACATTGTCCTCACAGGCCAGAGTTCAAATAGTTAAGAAAACATAAGTCTAAAAATAAAAAATATCATATATATATATATATATACACACACACACACATATATATATATACAATTTTCTGTTACAAGTCAACATTAGCTTTCAGAAATAAGTTATGCTCAACCAATAGTCTAGTCACAACCCCAAAAGATTAGAGTCTCATTTTTTCAATACTAGAATTTTATAGCAGATTTGTTTTACAGAGGAAAATGATAATTAGTAACCAAACATGAAATATGACCGTCCAAATTCTGATGTTCATTGACTGGCTGCAACTATCCTCTATACTAGAAAGATGTCAAATAACCCAATCATGCCCATTAAAAAATTTAAAAGAAAGCTATTGTTTTGGACCAAATAACTAGTGGATTGAAAAAAGATATATTCCCTCCAACTGGATGCTTTGATGATCTTAACTACCTGAGCTACACATGAACTCTCAAATACCGAGGAATAATATTGCAAGTTTATTATTACCAAGTAAACTAGCACACTTTCTTTAAAATCAATACCTTTTACATTTTTCCGTGGTTTAGTGGATTTCTTCTCCTTTAAACTATGATTTTTAACAGATTTTTGTTTTCTTTTCTCTTCTTCAGCAAGAACTTTCTGAAGCAAATGAGCAAAAAAATCGAAGTCAAAAGGGCGCTTTTCCTCTGTTTAAAAAAAAAGGAAAAGAACTTTCAAGTTTTTATTTTAAAAAACTGTTTCTAGCTTTTAAAGTATCATAACAAAAAAAGCAAATGGGTTTGTCTATCACTAGGAGAACAGATAAACAAGTACACAACAGAACACTACTCAGTAATAAAATAGGTGTGTCTTATCAGCAGGGAAATAGATAATTACACATCAGAACACCATTCAGCAACAAAAGGAATAAACTAGTTTAAAACTAAAGGAACTACTGATATGTGCAATCATATGAGTGAATCTCAAAAACATACTGAGTGGAAGAAAACAGATACAAGGGTACATACTGTATGATACCATGTATAAGATATTCTAGAATACACTGAGTTATCTATGGTGATTAAAATGAAAATAGTGGTTGCCTTGGGCCAAGAGCCTAGAAAGGAAGATAATAGGCCTTGTGAAGTGATTAAAACATTTCCTCTATTGTTTAGGGTAGTGGTTACACAACTTGCTACACTTTGAGCTGTAAGTATAAATTAATTATTTTATGGACTGAGAAGTCCTCAAAATGCCTATTCACCACCATTTGCCCTACCTTTATCACAACGATTTCACCACTTGCTCTTATAAGTATCAGTGAAGTAGGAAGTAAATGAATTTAATCAGGAACAGGTCCACTAAATACCTATCAACAGCACTGTATCTGAAAGTAATCAGTGAATACTCCAGGAATGAATCCAGACCAGGACGCAAATCCTTGCTTGAACTTTACAGCTATTCTTATAGTGAATGTAGAGAAAATGGTGCTCTATACACATAAGCTGAAGACTGGTATGATTACAAGACAGCCTCAGAAAAGAAGGTATATATTAAAACAAAAAGAATCTCAGGAAACTAAACCCAAATCTGGAATTCCTAAAGGCCTTATTTCAATGTTGACTCAGACTTATTTGTTCTGACTCTCCACAGTGATTCTGAAAGACACAGCACTCAGAATCATGAAGGATCTCCATGTGGTTCTCAGAGAAACTCAAAACGTAAGTTCCCTCAAAAAACCTAAATAGGTCTCACATTTTTTAGAAAATTTCCAATACAAAGCCCCAAAATCAATGAGTTGTTTTTAGCTTTGAGACAGGGTTTTGCTGTGTTGATCAGGCTGGCCTCGAACTCTTGGGCTGAAAGGATCCTCCTGCCTCAGTAACTCCTAAGAGTAGCTGGGACTAGAGGCATACAACACTGTATCCTATTTAAGATCAATACATTTTAAAGATATCTTCTATAATGGTCTATTAAAAAGGCTCCAAACTCCAAATAGACTGTTTATAGATTCATGAATTATTTTCTATAATTTTCTATTTAACACACTATAATGTGTTAAACTTAATGAAAAGTTCCAGGATCACTTCTCTAACGTGGAATGGGCTGAGGATCACAATATTCCAGATCTTCTAAGAGCCATTCCTGAAAACAGTTTCCTTAAAGACCCAATAAAACACTGGATATAGGATCCACCCACCTACCTTAGTGTCTACTCATAAAATAAATGTACATGCTACATAATGTAGGTATTCTCTACATTTGGATTGCTTTTTCTAAAATTAGCACTATGGCTAATCTTATGACTAAATGGATATTGAATACATTTTTTAATCATAAAATACTGACAATTATAAATCCACCAAAAATATATTCCTGTCCACAAGTGTGGTGAAAAAAAAAGAAAAAGACATATCTTCCAATCTGAAAATACAAGAACTGTTTTAAACAGTAAATTTATTTTCCTTTACAGATCCTTTGATGTCTTTCTCCAGACTTAGAGAAAAGTATGTTAATTTTCATGAGGATTTCAGTTAAAAATGGAAAGATATCTATCATTCCTTCAGATGAAATCTAAATTCAAATGCTAGCATACATCTTCAGACAGAACGTCCCTAATGATCCAATGATCGGTAGGAAAAAGAGACCTAAACATTCACCCTCTCTCTTTTTTCTTCTTGGAAACGAATCACTACCTAAAATTATGCTTATCTACTATATTTCTTCCCCCTCCAATTAGACTTAAGGCTCTAAATTCAGGATTCTCATCTGTCATATATCTTCCACCATTACATACTCAATACCTGGAATGATGACTAGCACATAGCAGGTGTTCAGTGTTATTGACTGAATGAGTGATTAGTCATTCAGAACCAGAAAGAGCCATCTATACTGATACTACTGTCTTCCAGAAACAATTATCTCCTCCAATACAGTTTCTTCAGAATAAATAACACTTAGAAGTGGTAGCATCAATCCCTCTATAACTTCTTGGACTAAGAACTATTTACCTGCACCCAGATGTTCTGGATAATCTCCTGCCTATATATTTGTAGCAACTTCCAGAACCATACTGCTAAACAGAAAAAGTTCAGACTGCTTCCTCTTATGCCACTACAGGCACAAAACAAATCTAAAACATGGTAGAGCCAAAGAAAAAAGACTGGTCATTTTTCAGGCTCTCCAAGTAATATTGTGTAAAAGAGGTCTTAATACTTACGGAATGCTTTGTCTATTCTCCATCCATTTGTTTTCTCTTCACGTTTAAATTTATTCTGTTAATACAACAAAAAACCCTATGGTAATTTTCTCCCATAAAACAAATTTTTTAAAAAAAATACAGCAAGCAATAAAATGAAACTCTTAGGAATAACATACCGTTCTCTACTCAATGTGTCTTTGCCAATAGGCTAAAACTTAAACATTTAGCTTTTTAAAAATAAGAATGAAAGATTTTTACTGAGCTTCCTGATTCTCATTACCAATAGCATGAATCAGCAAAGGAAGCTGGATTTACAGAGGACAGAAAAAAAATAAAGTCAACAAATATGGAAGCAGATCAAACCTATGATTAAGCTAACTGGCATTAAATTTTAAAAAATTAAGTATTCATATCAGGTTGAACCTCTGACATTACTGTTCTAATATATTTCAAGTGGCATGGAGAGAAGACTATAGAGAAACTACTAAGCGAAATTTTGAAGTGGGCCAAGTTTATCTTGACAATCTTTTATATATTAAGGCACATTTACTCATTTTCTCAGCCCCAAAAATTCCAGTACTTGACCAAGCACAGTAGCTCATGCCCGTAATCCCAGCACTTTGGGAGGCCAAGGCGGGCAGATTATCTGAGGAGGTCAGGAGTTCAAGACCAGCCTGACCAATATGGTAAAACCCCATCTGACAACTGTAGTCCCAGCTACTCAGGAGGCTGAGACAGGAGAATTGTTTGAACCTGGGAGGCAGAGGTTACAGTGAGCTGAGATCATGCCACTCCATTCCAGCCTAGGCAACTGAGTAAGACTCTGTCTCAAAAAACAAACAAACAAAAAACACCCTGTCCTCAGTTTACTAACAGATTACTTCCATTAAGAGAAAAATGCTTAAGGCTTAAGGTTCAATCCATCCTCAGACTGAGACCATGAGTTTGTGTCTGAAGATGTCTCATGCAAGCACATCACAGGAGATGAAACAATTAGCCAATCTTTCCCATCTATAGGTCAGTGATCTAAAAGTACATTTTTAGATCAATTTTAGATCTAAAGTACTTTTACTAAAAGTATAAAAATAAAGCTTTTTATTGCAAAAAAAGAAGACAGAGAGAGACAATCACATAAAACAAATGAAGTACTTCATGCCCCCTTCCTCCCTTCAAAAGAACTTAACAAGGCCAGGCGCAGTGGTTCATGCCTGTAATCCCAGGTAGGCAGATCGCAAGATTAAGAGTTTGAGACCAGCCTGGTCAACATGGTGAAAACCCGTTCCTACTAAAAATACAAAAATTAGCCAGGCGTGGTGGCACGTGCTTGTAATCCCAGCTATCCAGGAGGCTAAGGCAGGAGAATCACTTGAACCCAGGAGGCAGAGGTTGCAGTGAGCCAAGATCACACCACTGCACTAGCCTGGTGACAGAGCAAGACTGTGTCTCAAAAAAAAAAAAAGAAGAAGAAGAAGAGCTTAACCACTAATATGATCTTTAAAGCAATCACTTTCTTATATTTCCTTATTGCTTATGACCCAAGTGTGTATTCTCAGATGCTATAGTTTAGCCTTCCCCATATTTTTAAAACCTGGTATGATTTTAACATCTTTTAATATACAGGTTACCCTTCTTTCCCATTCTTTTATTTTTCTTCATAAAACTTATTACCAATACAGAAGTTTTCAAGGATAATCTTATTTTTGCCTTAAAAGATCATACTATGATTTAAACATTCCTCAAAAGTTAACAGTTACCTCCACAAAAAGTGAATGGCTATAAATACTAAATTAAATGTCCTAAAAGAAATATCAATAGGCTTCAGGCATTCAATTCTAAAACAGTGCTACTTCATATTTTACTTAATTGGTAATATAATTCAGAACAATTTAAAATTTTCTTGAAGACTGTACTGAAATTAGTCAATGATTTTGTAGGAAGAACCAGTGCAGGCCAAATTCCATGATCACAAAATAAATCCCATAATTCCACTTCGGGCCTTGACAAAGTAACTCATTATGGACATATCCTACATACCCAACTCCACCACAAATGACTTAACATTGACAAAATATATGCATCAATTATTTTCAAGCAAAGGACAACAGAGCAAGACTATAATCATGAAGAGAAAAAAAACAGACAAGATGTACCCGTGTTTACCTTGGCTGGCTGCCTGGGCTGAATTTCCTAACCAAGGAAAGGGAGGTGAAGGCCAAGGATGGTATAGCAATCCAACTAAGCTGCAGAAGTAGGGAATCTTTAGGAGCATGGGTCTAAAATGGAGCTGTGGAGAGGGGCACCTCACAAGACTGGTGGAAGTACCCCATGGTTCCCCGGCCTACGTATGGGTTACATATGTTCAGAATAGAAGGCCTAGAAGGGAACAGCTGCTAAAGGGATGAGAACAGAAGAGGCTAAAAGTCACAAAACACCATCAGACAATAGAGTTCGGGTGCATCCTAATGGAAAGACCTCATTAATACCCAAATACATTCACCTCAGATACCAGAAAGGTCACCATTAAGAGATAAAGATGATACACTAGAGTAGCCTTTCTCTACAGAGATATAGCATGAGAATTAAGTACTAATGCATTAAAGCAGCCACTGTATGCAATGCATTACTTTCTCTCATTTATCTATGAATAGAATGGTATTAGTATAACCATTCTTAGAGAACTTAGAAAATAGTAACTCATGCCTACCATGAGACTGTTCTGGAAAATGAAGAAAATAATAAAATAGTGACTCAAATTATTTTCTGTAAATCAGATGAGAAATCCCAATGGAGAATGTCCTAGATTAAAGACCAGTCTAGATCTGCCTCAACAAAGGTCTAAGCAAAGCCTCAATAGGAAAAAAGAGGTTGGCAGTAAATTAACTGCTTTCCAGAACAAAAGTCAACACTTTTTTATTTTGTTTTGTTTATTGAAACAGTCTTGTTGTCTTCCAGACTGGAATGCAGTGGTGTGATCACAGCTCACTGCAGCCTTGACCTCCCAGGCTCAAGCAATCCTCTTGCCTTAGCCTCCTGAATAGCTGGGACCATAGGTGTGTGCCACCACGCCTGGATTTTTTTTTTTTTTTTTTGTAGAGATGAGATCTTGCCATGTTCCTCAGGCTGGTTTCGAAATTCTGGGCTCAAGCAATCGTTCCAGCTCAGACTCCCAAATTACTGGGATTAGAGGTGTGAACCACCACACCTGGCCCAATGCTCTTTAAAGAAAAAAAAAAAAATCCAGACACTATACAACACATCATTCTCAATGTCTGGTACAAAATTTCAAAAACTCATGGCTGGCCAGGCATGGTGGTTCATGTCTTATAATCCCAGCCCTTTGGGAGGCTAAGGTGGATAGATCACTTGAGGTCGAGAATTAGAGACCAGCCTAGCTAACATGGTGAAACCGTATCTCTACTAAAAATACAAAAATTAGCCGGAAATGGTGACATGCACCTGTAATCCCAGCTACTTGGGAGGCTGAGGCAGAAGAATCACTTGAACCCAGGAGGCAGAGGTTGCAATGAGCCAAGATCATGCTACTATACTCCAGCCTGGGCGACAGAGTGAGAGTTCATCTAATAAAAATTTTTTCAAAAAAGGCCGGGCGCTGTGGCTCACGCCTATAATCCCAGCACTTTGGGAGGCCGAGGCGGGTGGATCACGAGGTCAAGAAATCAAGACCATCCTGGTCAACAAGGTGAAACCCCATCTCTACTAAAAAATACAAAAATTAGCTGGGCATGGTGGTGCACGCCTGTAGTCCCAGCTACTCGGGAGGCTGAGGCAGGAGAATTGCTTGAACCCAGGGGGCGGAGGTTGCAGTGAGCCAAGATCATGCCATTGCACTCCAGTCTGGGTAACAACAGCGAAACTCTGTCTCAAAAAAAAAAAAAAGAAATAAAGAAAGAAAGGCCAGGTGGTGTGGTGGCTCACGCCTGTAATCCCACCACTTTGGGAGGCCAAGGCGGGTGGATCACTTGAGGTTAGGAGTTTGAGACCAGCCTGGCCAACAGGTCGAAACTCCATCTCTACCAAAAATATAATAATTAGTATGGTGTGGTGATATGCACCTATAGTCCCAGCTACTCAGGAGGCTGAGGCAGGAGAATTGCTTGAACCTGGGAGGCAGAGGTTGCAGTGAGCCGAGATCAGGCCACTGTACTCCAGCGTGGTGGCAGAGCGAGAATCCATCTCAAACAAAAACAAACAAACAGAACAACAATACATGGAGTATAGTAGCATGATCTTGGCTCATTGCAACCTCCGCCTCCTAGGTTCAAGTGATTCTTCTGCCTCAGCCTCCCAAGTAGCTGGGATTACAGGTGCATGTCACCATTTCTGGCTAATTTTTGTATTTTTAGTAGAGACATGGTTTCACCATGTTAGCTAGGCTGGTCTCTAATTCTCAACCTCAAGTGATCTACCCACCTTAGCCTCCTATTTTTTAAAACCAACGTGACATGAAAAGATAGACAAATGTGATACATAGTCAGGAAAAGAAAATAAAAGTCAGAAGAAACAGATCTCATTCCCTAGCAAGCAGACTCAGAAAAAAAAAGAAGAAAAAGATCTCAATATCATCGAGATATTAGAATGAACAGACAAAAATGTTGGAGGATCTATCCATTATACAAATATTTGAGGATTTAGAGGAAAGTATAGAGTGAACAGATGGGGAAATCTCAGCCAAGGAATGGAAACTATAAAAAATAACCAGGTAGAAATTACAGAAATAAAAAATAGAATTTCAGAAATAAAATATTCACTAAATGGGCTAACAGCAGATTGAAGATAAAAGACAGGGTCAGTGAACTTGATGCTATGAAAATAGAAACTATCAAAACAGAAATGGAGATTGGAAAAAGGTGGTCAGAGCTTTGGTAACCTGTAGTACAATGTCACATAGGGTAAACTATGTTGGTGGAGTCCCAGAATGAAAGAATTAAGCAGACAAAATATTAAAAGAAATAATTTAAAATTTCCCAAATATAATAAAAGATGCAAGAAGCTCAGCAAACTCAAAGAAAACTAAAGCTAGGCATATGTATCATCGTCATACAGCTAAATACT